ATCGTCATCGCCAACGATTAAGCTTTCGGTCATTTTGTAAATGTCCCTATAGCTACTAAGAAAAAAATTCGGGCAAGTCCTACTGATATGTTTCGGTCTTAATATTTTCTAACAAAATCATTTATTCCACAACTCGCTTTTAGCAACTCGTCCGCACCTTTGGACGCGTTGCGGTGAATTATCGAGAAGAGATGAACAAATGGGTCGACGAAAGCTATTGCACAAGCAATACGAAGAAATGGAATCTGGACTACTCAGACGTAAGCGCCCTTACCTTGACGCTTCTCTGTTTCTGAAACATTTGTACTGAAATTTAGAAGCAGGACTTATAGGAACAATACGTCGGGTATCCGAGTCCTCCACTTGATATGATTCGTTTTACTCACAACGACCAGCTCGCCGATTCTGAAGATCTGATATTTATTTTCACCTTGTATGGTGTTTGCAAAAGTTAACGACACAAGTTCCTGTTTCTGCCTTAAATCGCCTCTTAACCTAAGTAGCCTTTTTGACTTTCCCACTGATGTGGGGTGCGAGTCTCCCCTTTTTCAACCTAGTACATGCAGTGGGCTTCAGGTCGTGTGCATGGCGCGTGCAGATGAGTTGTGCAGATTTTTCGAGCAATGCGTCCAACCCCGTCATCAGCTGGTTGACAGGGCTGGGAAATCGACTGGTGCAGGATAATGAGACTGGGCAGAGGGACAATGCTACTTAAGCCGTCTACACGTGCCAAACACAAGCTGGTCCCCACTACATTTATTAGACTTCTTTGAAGGCTTCCCACTAGTGGGAGTGTCATAGTAATCGCGTTAAAACAAGCCATTGTAGCCGTTCCTTCAGTTCTTCAGTGAGTCCAGCGTACTCCCATGAGGACCGGGTTAACGTGTCAATTGGAACAGTCTAAGCCACGACTTTTGGCGCATTGTGATAGATTCAAGCGCGTAATTCTTAGCATAGTGAGAAAGTAGCGTCAGAGGATATCTGCAAACTATAAAGGCGTCAGAAGCCGACGGCTAGGGTATGCACTTCGGTTGAATTTGGTCCACAAAACTGCGAACCTTGCCTGGTCGCAGGACCGGAAAATCGCCATCCAGATTCAGACCTCGAGACGAAGGAATCTGTGAGAATCGCTGGAAGGCCCATGGGGAAATGTATCGATCTCGGCTTGTGGTCTTTAATCTCACCAGAAGGGAACGGCTAACTTAGTCTAAATCATTCGGAATAAAGCTTTCTAGGCGCATTTCGAAAGTTGGTACACGTACTTGAGCCCCGAAGTCCATTGACTACAGCCAGTAATATGTACATGTTGCATAAAGTTACATACCACCAGAATAGGTTATAGCTAAGAGCCTATGTAAGGGCAGTATGGACCAGCAACAGGAAAGAAATCGTAAATCTACTTAGAAATGTTAGTGGTGAAGACTAGTCTCGTATACTGCGAGAAAAAACTATCATCTGTCACAAAAGAATTGAATAATTTTCTGTCTCTCTGAACGAAAATGTAACTCTTCTTCATCGAGCCTCTAAAAAGACCGAAGGAGGATAAAAACGCAGTCGGCCCGATCACCAAATACGAACACATGTAGGAGTATTTGACAGGAGAACTAATCAGGTATGGTAAATGCTTACCTTGAGATGTTGGAAAGCCGTTCTTATCAAAACATGGAACACAATTTCCATTGGGAACCTAGTCTTATCAAAAAGCGGAACAAACTTTCCCTTACAATTGCCAGTTAGTTGATCAAAAATATACAGTACACAACAGTAGAAAAAACGAACTACTGAATGGAAATGTACCAAGAGGCACTTTTCATCTTTATCATCCAACTTTGCTTCGCATAAGGGTTTCGCTACTTTCAAGTGAAAAACCAGTAGCCAATATTTCTGCGCAGTTGGGGACGCAAACGGGGACGGGAAGTTGGCCTTAGCACTGTTTGTGTGCGTATTGCTGTTCATTCCAATGGGGTGCCTGAACAAAGACAAGCGTTTAATGGCCCAGTTCGTTTGAATGCATGGATTGCGTCTACTATATTCGCAGTCCCTTTAGCTGTTTCGTTGGAAGTGCCAGTTCCATAAAACGTAATCTGTGCTCTTTTTTTCATTGAATAATGCGGGGGCACTTAATAATTTCTTCCTACCTTTCAGAATTCAGCAAAGAAGGCGAACGAAGCCGCCGAACGTCGACAGTTGCAGGCAGAGCGATTACGTGAACTGCACCGAAGACGGCATCTTGAGAAGGCGGTGCGTCGACATGTTATGGCTAATCACTTTGAGAGATAACAGATAGCGATGCTACCACTCTTTAGGCTACTAAGTCCCACATGCAGCCGTCTAAGTCTAACTGATCGGAACAGAGGGCATATCTTAGTTCTTGAGGTCAGGCCAGATCAGGGCAGTCTTGGCGTTATTGAGGGGAGAGGGCCAGATTGTACGCCACACCAGCAACCTGTACCCTCTCTCGCCTCCGACCTTTGATAAATGAGCCATGACACCGGACCCAGGTGGTTGGGAGAGGAGAAAGTGCGGCAGATGCTGTGCAAGTCCACCACCACCATAAACGAAATCACACGCAAGTCACCGTCCCTGCGCCCACCATGCTGTGGGAGCACACGCAGGAGGTCATCGTCGGCAGTGTGGGTCGGACTGTCGTGCTGACGCGTAAATTCCACAAGCGATGAACCTCAAGATCGATCTCCTTCGGAGCTACTCTGAGCCGGCAACTGGTGACAGCCATGACCATAGCGACTTCCAGGCAGTTTGCATCGTTTGCTCTTCGCCCTACTGAATTGAAAGTCTCAAAAAATGCTTTGCTCCTCTCTGACTGAACGCGACGCCGAGGTCTCACCTAGTGCTCCATTATCAATGTCCTCATCCCAGCAAATGCTTTGACTGGGGAGTGGAACCAACGGAGGGTAGCTAATAGGTCTCCAAAATGAATGAATTTGAGTAACATCCTGGGTTCATCCATGGAGGAGGGAGATGGCACGTCATGCCGCGTGGACCATTGCGCATAACGCGGTTTCCAGTCGCTCTTACTCCACCTCTAGACTGAAACAAATTCCGTATCTGCGATAGCACTCTGTCTCCAAAGGTAATGGTTACTATTGTTACTGTGACTTCTGGCTGTGTCACCGTTTAATTACGCTTTGTTTGGATCTCCAAGGCGCTACACAACAAAGGAGGGAGACGTAAGGTGGAAGCCACCCGAATGAGTCTTTTTGTGTACAAAACACATAGTGGCTGTCTCGGGTGGCAGTTGTGCCGCTGGCGTTGTCCAGGACTGAATGCCTGGCCGCCTCGGGACGAAGCCCGGCAATGAGACGGATTGGCGGTTTCCTTGTCCGCCCATGTTATAATTCACTCTCAGCGATGCGAAAGTTACTTATAAGGGATTGTCAAGTGCGTCCTCTTGTGGCATGATTGGGCGCGTTGGAATAAGGTCACCTGCCGTGTGGCGCAGCTAAGTGGCCCTTGAGAAACTGCGACTAGTTGGGCACGCGCGTGGGCTCGCGTGCGTATGTGCGGTATAGTTCAGCGGTTTAAGGTCATCGCGTGGTGCTAGCCACAGCGAAGACACGAGATCTTTGACAAAGGCCGCATTGACAAAGGAATCATTGCGGCAGTCGGCCACAGGCACGACGCCTCAGGACAGCCTGCAAAGTTACGCTGACAGTATAACAGTAGACACCTTGAAGGGTAACAACCGCAATCTTATGAACCAGCTTGGGACTGACTTAGCTGACGAATCGGACAATCAGTAAGCACAGTCCCCGTGTGCCATAGAACACCTTTTCTGCATTGAGAGACGGAGGAGCTAGCAACGCATTTATGCCTTCCAAACAAATCGGAGAGGTTGGAGGCTTCCAGCTGCTTTTTTTTTCAATCGACGTGTAAACTTTGCCTACCGGTGGTTGGTAAGGGTTTTGTGTGTTGCGGACTTTGTCGACCCGGAGTTCTGTACACAACACCGTATACCTATTTCTTGTATCTCTCAGTACTCAATAGGACACCGGCCACGGCCACAAGAGTCCGACACGACCCTCCTTATGTCCTGCTAATGTGCTAAAGGGCTTTTAAGAACACATTTCAAGAATGTCCGTTGCCAGTTCATAAGATAGCAAATCTACCTTATTCAGTTTTCTCACAGAAAGTTATGGTGGACAGCGTCGCTCCTGTCGACCAGCGGCCTCCCTGTTTGACCTCTTAGACGTGATTTCGCATAGGATAAGGGGATTTATCCTCGAACAAATACCAGCATTTTTCTGGTGAGCGGCAACTTTGCCTTACGTACTCCCCGAAAAAAGAGTTTTCCGCACAGCTTTGGGGGTTATCGTTTTTATCCTTTGTTTTTTTACACTTTCGGTCAAGATTCCTTGTAAGTAACACCGCATTTTACCACGCATAACCAACGGCTTATTTCGTTGTAGTAAGCCTGTGTTTTTTGTGAACGTATTCAGCATTTACCACGCCACCACACTCCCCACACGAAAATATTTAGCGTGCTGCGGTTACTTGCAGTTTAATTAGTTGTAGTTTAGTTTAGTTGTCAGTTTATTATTTGGTTTTATTATTTTACTTTTAGTTCAGTTTTCAATTTATTTAGTTAAGTTAAGATTATTTTAGTCTTAGTTTAGTTTTATTAGCGACATGCGGTTGCTTTTCGGCTAATGGTACTGCAATACCTGTTTAAACGTATTAGAAGCTATTGCGAGTTTTAAAAAGTAGGAAAAACCCTACCTTCCATGACTTTACTTAAATTTCGAAAATTCGCAGTTATTTGCACAGTTCCGCGATTTGCGCATTTCTTGTTTCCTATTGGTTGTTTTTCTCATTTTAATTATCGCGCGCAAAAATAAGATTATTAACATAACTATTTATATGCCTTAAGATTCGGGGTCCAGATATGTTACCGTGTTCATCGTCTCCCAAAGAAAAGGGAGAGGGGGCGGGTTCGTGGACCAGATTATATTTGAACTGATGTTTCAAACGCACACTCGCTTCTATCGTCAGAGTACCGTGCTTACTCCTCCGTCTACCTTGAGTGAAATCAGCTTGCCGCCAGCCTCGTGTTATACCCGTGCTCACTGCTCGTGCGTTCGCCTGCCCGGTGACCGCACAGGAAGCAAAGGAGACGCGGACCTGCCATTGATCGGCAGCAAAAAAGTCGGAGCCAACCAGCGGTCACCAGGCAAGCGAACGAACGTGCAGAAAGCACGGATATAACACGAGACTGGCGGCAAGATGATTTCACTCAGGGCCCGCAGGGGAGTAAGCACGGTACTCTGACGATGGAAGCGAGTTTGCTTTTGAAACGTCG